CGGTGCGACGTGGTGCCAGACATCTCGGGATCTGAAGGTCTTGGAGCAGCTTCATCTTCTCCAGGTAAGTCTTCCATGACTCGTACTCCTTTTCTTCTATCTCTTCATCCCAACCGACGCCACTTCGCCATATGTTCTGGAGCAGCCTTTTGCCTTGGATGAGAATTGGTGATGCTAGCCCTAGTGGATCGAAGGTCGACATCACGGCGCTGGTGACTTCTCTCTTCGTAGGTACCTTGAGTCCTTGTGCCACTTCATCTGGCGTGTTCCGAAGGTTCGCCCTAAAGCCTATGGAGTCCCTTTCTGTAAACCAGCGTAGTCCCAGTGTCTTCTCTTCCTTCTCACCAAGGTCCACCTCTGTCTTCTCAACTGACTCAGTCTTCACGTCTTGCAGCAGGTCGGAGTGGTTTGACGCCCATCCTCGGAGTTCGAAGCCCGCCTTTTTGTGAATGAAGTCCACCTGCGCTGTAATTCTCTTGAAGTCCTCTTCTGAATGGAAGCTGTGCAGGTAGTCATCCATGTAATGGTTCAGCTCGATTGCCTTTGCTGCCTCTGGGTACTGCTTCTTGTAGTCCGCCGCGTTCCGGTTCTTCACGTAGATCGCTGTGCTAGGAGATGATGTCGCGCCGAAGATGACTGATGTCATTCTGTACTCCTTCGGTGCTACGTCACGACGATCCCCTCGCCACAGGAACTTCAAGCTGTTTCTATCTTCTGGCCGGATGCGAACTTGCAGGAACATTTCCTTTATGTCGGCTGCCACTGCAAACGGGCCTTGCCGGAACCTCAGTAATACCCCGAAGAGCGATTGCAGTAGGTCTGGTCCCGGTAGTAAAGCGTCGTTGAGGCTTCTCCCTTTAGACTTGGCTGCAGCGTCGAAGACGATCCTTATTTTCTTCTTCAATGGATGTACCACGGAGAAATGAGGGAGGTACCATGTCTTCTTTGAATCTTCTTGTCCACCAGGTGCTTCTTCTGCATACTTGCTGTCGATTAGATGCTGGATCTGCTTATTGTATTCTGCCTTCAGCTGAGGGTCTTTGTCTATCTTCTTTTCAATGTTGAACAATCGGTTCTTGGCAGACGTGTAGCTTTCAGGCATCTGTTCATCTTCATTTTTCCATAGAAGTCCAGCTTCAAATCGACCATCTTCTAGTCTTCTGCAGGTCTTCTCTAGGATGGTGAGTGCTCTTCCTTCTGAATCCGTAGTGGGTCTTCTTGGTAGTACTCCAAGTGCTTCGATTGCGAAGTGATCCTTGATGGCTTGATGCATCTCTTCTTCTGGCGTGCTGACATGTAGACACGTGTTTAAGAAGTGCACCACTTTCGCGCCTCCAGTGTCTGACCCGTGGAGCACCCATCCAAGTCCTGTTCTTGAAGCGACTGGTTGTCCTGGTTTCCCTCTTCTTACTTCTTGAGTCACGATTAGCTCCCAGTTGTCTTGACCGATGAGCAGCTGTGGTGACTCCCCCTTATAATATAGAGAGTCAGCAATCTTCTTCAAGTGTTGACACTCTTCTATCCTTTTCTTTTCTAGGAACTGCGGTGCAAGCTTCAACTCGTCGATGGTTCGGACTCTTCTCAAGGTCTTCTTGGTCTTCTGATGAATCCCCTTCACCGTAAGGTCCAGCATCTGAGAGTCTTCCTTCCTTATCAGCCTGCCTCCAACAGTCTCGATGACCAGTTCCTCCTTTCTTCCTTGAGCGCCGATTTCTTCTGCTACCTTCTGGTCTAGCAGCGACACTGTTGACCCTTCATCCATGAGGGCCAATATCTTCTTTGATCCTTTTGACCCGAAGATTTCTATCGGAATTATCTTCAGGTATGCCCTTGCGTTGTTGACCGCATTCACCGATGCCATGATGCTCGCCACTTCTTGTGGTTTGTTCTTCTGTTCTTCCGAGGAACTTTTCTCTGTCTCGACGTGCAGCAGATGATGATGCCACCTCTTGCATTCCTTGCACGACGGCTTCTTGCAGCTCTCCTTCCGATGTGTCCCTTGTAAACACTTGAAGCAAACGCGGCTTTTCTTCACTATTGCCCATCGATCTTGCACAGACGCCTTCAGGAACTTCTGACACCCGACGAGGAAGTGTTCACCCTCACACATGGGGCAAGTCTTCTCTGATCTTGAAACCTTTTCTTTGAAGTCCTTTTCCTTAGTTGAATGCGTTGCTTGTCGATGAGTCCGTCTGAACCCGCTCTTCTCTTCTGTTGATGCATAGGCTCCACACTTGTCTGCTTCTCTGTTCAGGAACTTGGACACCAGTGTTAGGTCGGAGAACTCGCCTTCTGTTGTTTCAATGAAGTCGTACCATCGGAACTTGAGGATCGTAGGCATCTTCTCAATAATTTGTTTCACCATCTCAGGTGAATGCAGGTACTGTGGTTTCTTCAATCCTTTTATTGCCGCTACGCTGTTGCTGATCTGGCTCGCGAAGAGGCATATGTCCCTTGGGTTTTCAGAAATCTTCGGCAACGTTTTGACCTTGTCCAACTCTGCCAGCACCAGTGCATCTGGTCTTCCATATCTTCTTCTGAGGGCTTGAATCACTTCCATCGGAGAGGCTTCGGAGTACAGCAGACTCTTGATAGCTTCTCTTGCGTTGCCCTTCAGTGCTCTTCTTAGCCGAGCCATATTCTGGACGTTGTTGAACATCGGTGCTGTATCTTCATAGACAACCTTGAAGGCCATCCACTCGCTGCTGTTGCCGTCGAAGTAGGGTAACTCGTGAATGTAGATTGGCTGTCCTGCTGGTCCTCGCGTGGTAAGAGCTTCCTTCAATGCTGCCGTCAGTGCTTGAATTTCAATCGTAGCTCCTCTCGTTGAGGAGTTCTCTTCAGGCTTCATCTTCTGTGGCTCTTCCAAGGGGTGTGGACCTCGCATCTCTGGTTGAACTTTGTTGCCATCCTCCAGCACAGACGTCTCGATCCAGTTCTGCACCTGTGCTGTTCTGTCTTCCAGGTCTTCATCCACGGAGTCCTCTTCTTCACACTGTGCCATCTCCAATCTGACACGGGCTAGCTTAGTTTCAGCCTGTGCTTGCTTCAACTCCAGGCGTGCCAACTCTTCCTTTGCTTCTAGCTCGCGTCTTCTGGCCGAGGAACTCGTGGTCTTCGTGGACCTGGCGCGACGACTGACCCCCATCGGTTTCAGGGTCTTGGAGGAGCCTTGAACATCCTTTCCAGGTACATCTTCTTGGCTCTTCCTGGTCATCCTCTGTGCAGCATCTTCTTTGTTGCCTTCCATAGACGCCGCCGTAGTTGCAGTCGTAACCGTAGTCTCCGTCACTGTGGTGCCCTCCGTGGTCGTGGTACCCGAAGAAGTGTTCGATGTAGTTGCAGTTCCCGATGACGCCGACGCTGACGTGACCCCTTCTGATCCCGACGTTCCATCTGTCGCGTCCCTATCTGAAGGACGGGACCCGGGACGTGAGGGGGCATCCTTCTGCGACCTGGTTACCGGCATCTTGAACGCAATCTTCTGTTTCTTCTGAACTTCTTCTAGCAGGGATCCGGCTCGAAGGACCAACTGTTTCGGACGACCAGAACCAGGGTATGTCTAGTACCCGGAGGTCGACCTGGGACAATCTCCCAGACGTTCTTGGCGTACACGGCAGTATGTCCGTTCGCTGGTAATGTACGCCACCACGCACCCCTGAATGCGTAGCTTGGGTCCCGATCCACTAGGGTTTCTTCGTTGACAGGAGACTATACTTAGAGGCGATGAAATAAAAACACAATTTTTTCCTTTTTTCTCTCTTGGTTTCGGTTCTTCCTTTTCCTTTTAGTTGTTGCCTCTTCGGTGGCTGTCTGGCGACTGACTCGAATCGAGAAATGGCTCGCCTTTTATTTGGCCCGTTAATACCTTACAGAGAGCCGCGTACTTTGAGCTCATTTTTCGAATAAAATTTCCCTAAACCGAAACCTTGAGAGTCCTTTTATTTTATGTTTTCAGTAAAACACCTTACACATATTTATTTATTTACATGCCTTACATACTATTATACAATATTAAAACATAATATTCAATATATAATAATTAATTAAAAAAGTCTTAAAACAAAAATATCTAAATTTCTAGGTTGCTACATTTTTACTATACATTTTCCCTTATAACTTTTGAACGGATAGTCCTATCGACCTAATTCTTGTTTTATTATAAGTTTTATAATAAAATCTATTATTTAAAACATAAACTATTATGCTATTGCAAGAAACAAAAAATCTCATTTTCAAGTTACGTAATTATATGCTAACATTTTACTTACGTACCTATTCCTTTCAAATTAATGTTAAATAGTCTTATACGATTCAAATAAGCAAAAAATACTCTAAACTAACCTTATTACACTAATTAGAACTTATTTTAACATAATAAATCTAATAAGAATGAGATTTCATATTTACAACAATTATTCATAATACGCTAAAATGACATTGTCCCTATATTAATACACACGTTACTCGAAGATAGGTTTTCCGTCGCCGACACCCCTTTTTGAATCAGTCATAAGAAACATAGGCATTATTCCTAAGTACATACACAAATATGCCATAAAAAAATTAGACATTATTCAATGCATATATTATATCCTACTAATATTATAAACGCGAAAGTTTGTAAGAATGTATGTATGAATGTATAGATGTATGTTTGTACTCTTTGAAGCAAAAACTACTGAATGGATTTTGATGAAACTTTACAATAATATAGCTCATATATCAGAATAACACATAGACTACTTTTTATCCCGGAAAATGTACGGTTCCAGTGGGATAGATTTGTTTTTGTTTTTCTAGAGGCAAACCTGAGCGAAGCCAGGATGAGCCGATAGTTATTTACTAATTCTACTTGTAAAAATATACGTCGAACGAGAATAAGAATTGAAATATTCCATTATAATAATATTGGACGAATACAAATATTCTCCGGAGGTTTAAGAGCTATTCAAGCGGAAATATATTGATAGGCAATGTTTTGTAATCACGAATAGTCGATGGTACTCGTCAGTCAGCAAAACAAAGGTTCGCAAAGGGCGAGCGGTTTCAGCGTGGCTCGCGCAGTATCGAATACCGCCCGCCCTCGGTTACGCATAGAGTATGAACCAGATATGACATTAAATTAGAAATTAAAATTGTTATGTCAATAGTAAATAATTAATTCCTAATTTTAAAACTAAGTTAATAAATTAGTAATATACCTTGTATATAAAATATTTTTACATTAAGTATAATCGATCTATCCTTGAGAAAAATGTCCTGGAAATAATATACAATACAATAGTCTTTAGAATCAATAAAACTACAGATTCAAATTTAAAAGGTTGTTACGATAAAAATAAATATACCATAAATAATATTTTTCCTCGTGAGGCTTTATGTCTATAATCTTTGACGGATAGAGCGCGGGGCGCAAAGCTTGGTCAGTGCCCCGCGCGCCGCGACCTCGCTCGCTCGCGTCCTCCGTTTACCTTACATTCAAATATATTATTTGACCAACCTTCTCTTAAAATAAATTGCCCTATAATGCTATAAAAACGTGAATTAATTAAATTTTTCCTTAGTAGGAATGTGTAGAGTAGGCTAGCTGATTACATCGAGGCAAGCATCAAGGTAAAATAATTTTCTTAGAGCATTAATTAGCTTAAAATATTAGTTATAAACATTAGTTGTATACAATATTTATATTTTTATATATTGTCTTATTTTCTTTCTTTTATTAGTGTGTTTTTATTAATATTGATTTAAGGGGTTTACATTTCCGTTGAAATCAAAGTATTTATTCTTGATGTAATATATGTGGGAGAGTAAATTATAAATTAATACAAAGCCTTCGTGTCGTAATTGCTACGCAGAATCGCCATTTCTGTTTATAAATACATTAATCGATCTGAAAATCGTAGACCGGACCAATAGAAGCGTCCTTGCGAATCCCATGTTTTCAACATTCATAGAGTTTTTTAATATTTCTTTATGCTTTTTATTTTAAATAAATTACAAATTGAGATAAGAAAAAAATTTAGGTATATCTTTATCGAAGATATATTGTAGTGCGCATTTAATATTAACACTAACCTAAGCTATGTACATATATGTATAGTTATACATTTCTAATAACATTGCCTAGTCTACCATATCATTGTATAATAATGAAGACCTACCAGGACAACAATGATTTATGTCATTACATAGGCTGCAACTGTTCTGTACAATACATACACATATTAAAACTAACTGCGTTTAAAAATCGGATATTATTTAATCGAGCTAAATAATAAATGGTAAAGTTTGTAAGTATGTGTATGTTTGCTACTCCTTTACTCTAAAACAACTGGACGGATTTGGATGGGATTTAACACGCGTATAGACTAGACCCTGGAGTAACACATAGGCTATTATTATTATTACGCACGCACCTGAGTGTAGCGAGGGTAAATCACTAGTTTTTCCAAAATGACATAGGTAACTGCTAAGAAAGGAGCTGAAGGCTGAAAACAAAGGAAATTCAACCCCTGAACGATAAAAAATGGTAAATTTTGTATGGGAAATATATTTTTTAGGTGTTTAACTAACAAAAGCAGCCGGTAAAGTTAAAGCGGACTATTAGTATTACATATACAACGTACATAGTAATTACTTTAACAAATCGAATTGAGAAGGTGATGATTAAATTGCTTCAAAATATAAATTTTATACAAATACTTCATTTAAAAAAATAATTTATACAGTTACAAATGGCCCATTAAGACCGATTCCATTATACCGAGTGCCTGGAGCTGAGAATTCGACAATTAGCTTTGAAAAATATCAGTCATTAACCGCAGTGATGGAACTAATATTCAAAAATTTCATTTTAAAATATGTTAAAGAAATATTTTACTGCCTAATAATATGTTATATACTAACATTGCCGGCGGCTCCGCCCCCGTTTAGATGACCAAAAACCAAATTCTTAGGTTTAACATATTAGTATACTCTTACAATGCAGTTTTTATATTTTTTCTCAGAAATGAGTTATTTTCCCGCGATAAAAAGTATCCTATATATTGACCCGGATAACCAGCTAAAAACTATAGATTCGGCCTCTGTATCGATAATAATGTCTATTTCAATAAGATTTTATAAAAAATATTTAATGTATAGATTCGGCTTAGTTACAATTTTATTATATGTATAGGTAATATATATATATATATATATATATATATATATATATATATATATATATATATATAATTTTATTATATCTAATATTATTATTCTATTTTATTATATCTTCATCTTCATCTTCCTTAAAAAAATCCTTTAAAATCGCCGCTACATTTTATTAGAAGATCAACGAAAATAATTTAATTTTTAATATTATGTTTTTACATTTGACAAGTATCTAATCTAGATCTTTTCTTGTACCATATAGAAGTTCAATTAACTTTTATATTTTTAACTTTTTTAGTTGTATACCTACAAATATAGGGGTTTTAAATATCTCCACATTATTTATTATTTCTTTATAAACCTTTTACATCATAATTCGAATGATTAATCAGATCAGCAAACGCGTGTATTAAAATCGTCTGTAATTTTTCTTCTATTCTAATATTATTAGGTCAATATTTTCTTATACATTTCTTCATGTCAAAAGCAATAAATACGTTGAGAAGGCAACGGCTCATTAAGCGCAGATTCGATTATCGCGGCTCTTGAGTTTTCGCCAATTAACGATCAACGCTGTAACAAGCGGGCGAGGAAATTTCATTTTCAGTTCCAATCAATTAGATCACTAAAAAGCCTTTGATTACTGAGTGTTTGATGACAATTTTAATATAGTTAACAGCACATTCGCTATGGATGAAGAAATAAACCCAACTAAACTATATAAATAATCATAAAGAGACATATAGGTATGAGGTAATATGTAAGAAAAAAACGGGAAGATTAATTTTTTTTCAACCAAACGTCACTATAGTTAATGCGACGCTATACTAATTATCCCCAAAGGACTGCATTCAATATCGCGTTTAACTAAGATATATCACTCTAGTATTACTATAAATGCGTAAGTTTGTATGTGTCCGTGGCTAAGACTAAAATTTTGGTTGAGGTAAGCCGTTCCAAAAAAAAACACTGATATACAATTTTTATATACGTATTAATGTAAAGTAACGTCTTGTATGGACCCTTCGCCACTGATGTGTGTGTGTGTGTATATTTGCTACATCTTCATGCTTAAAAGGATTAGGATGTCACAGATAGTCTAGACCTGGAATAACACAGGCTACTTTTAGTAAAACAACAAAAATTCTCGGATAGGTATCCGATTTAATAAAATAAATTGAAATTAAACAAAAAAAAACTAAACATACATAGATTGTAATTCAATTATAAAAAAAATTACATGCGATTGTTTACGTAATTTCAAAATAAACTATGAATGTAAATTTTAATTATCTTTAAAATTATATACCTACGAATTTAACACGCAAAATCCTATTAATTAGTGTCATATAAAACGTAATTATAATTCATTTACCTTACAACATTGGACAGGTATAGTCTATAGATAGTGATAGTAGGTCAGCCACACATTAAGTTTTAATAAGCTTAATGTAGGGGCGACCACATATTCCATTACTAACTCGATGATTGCTTCGTAATCACTTAATGTTACTATTTTGTACATTTTTTATTGAATGTGTTTTTTATTGTATTTATACAAAGTGAGGAAAAGGAAATGAAAAAAATATTCTTTTGTATTCAGCCCTTTTTTAACGTCCCACTGCTGCCACGGGTCTTCTTTCAGTACGAGGGGAATCAGGCCATAGTCCACCACGCATACAGGTTTCCTCAAGATGTTTTCCTTCACCGTTAAGACAACTGGTGATCATGTTGGAATGATTCGCACATGAAAATATTAGAGGTGCTAGACCTGGGATTTGAACCCGCTTCACTCAGTTTCCCAAGCGAGCGCGTTGCTACTAGGCTACCACTGCCTTTATAAAATATTCTTTTATAGGACTATATAGCCAGTACCAATACTTACATGATTCATTTCTAAGTGTTTAGTATTAGGTTCCGTAGCCAAATTGCAAAATACGAATAATGCAAGATCTATCCATTCGTTCACTACAACTGATTTTACTCAGAGACTAAATGGTACTATGTAGTCAGGAAGGTCTTCATGAAACCAATTGGCTATTTTATAAAAAGAAAACATAAGGCTGGCACGTCTGGATTGCAAAATTGAATGGTTATAAATAATAAGTTTGTATTTTATATCAATACTAGCGACTCACCCTCGCTTCGCTAGGTTCGTCTCTAGGAACGTTTTGACGCTTAGTATGGAATGGATTTTTTTTTTAATTTTTTTCGTGATTTCTTGCGGTGTTTTAATAGTTATTCTGCTATTTGGGATGAAGACAATTTCAACAAAATAAAGATCATAAAAATCTGTCCAGCAGTTCTCGAGTTATAACTTATTAATGTTGTAACAAACCCGACTTTGTTTTATATATATAGATGTACATATTTAAGATTACTTGTAATCTTGTAGAGCTATTAATTTTCTTATATGGCATTTTTAATTTTTTTATTAAATCCATAAACAATGTACAAAAAAACTGACAAAACATTTATAATCTTTGGATGGCTTCTTCTGTTACAGTATTTCAATGAGTACAATATGAAAATACGTGTGATATACTCGTACAACTTTTACCTATTTTGTTGTAGTTGGCTAAAACAATGTTATAATAGTGTACCTATTATACCATTATTGACACCAAAAAGAAGTTTTATAGCCAGCTAGCTGACGTTTACCATTTTCCAAATTACGTACACTTATCCAAAAAAATACCTTTCTCCCACATTAATCCTTGATTCACTTGGCTCATTGCTATTTAAGGAGCGTCTGAGATAAATGGAAAAATTGATCTGGTTTTCTTTCGCAATAAAGACGCTTCCACTTATTCATCGTTACTTTAAAAGGGTTCAGGAAAAAAGAATGAAGGCAAAATATTCCAAATTCCTGTAGCCTAAATTATAAATTTTCTATTATTATTTCTAAATCTAATTATAAATATTTATTTTTAAACTTGATAATATCTTTTCATGACTTAACGGGGTACAGATGGATGTAATTTTTATTTATTATTTATATAGGACTAGCGACTCGCGCTCACTTCGCTCGCGTTCGTCCTTACGTTTTTACGGTTATTACGGCTAGTATAGAATAAATTATATTTATGTTTATACATAGGTATAGAAAAGTAAAAGTATCTACTTTAAAAATTTTAAAAATATAATATATCCCTTACTTGAGAAAAGATTCAAACTATCAACTCAAACCATCTCCATACCAAATATCATCTAAATCGGATGCAGCGGAGTTCAGCGGATTAAGCGTGAAAAGGTAACATACAGATAGACAGAGTTACTTTCGCATTTATATATGTATTAGTATGAATTATATTAGTGATCACCTGCTTTATATATAAATTGTAACTATGGTTACATAAAATTATAAAGCTTTAATTATATATAACATAAAGCCAAAACTTTAAACAATCTTTATATATTTTAATCCTTGCTAACATTATAAATGTGATAGTGTGTTG